AGGAGAACCAGGTATAAAAACGAATCTCTGTCTTACACCGCCTGCATTGGCAGATATATTCTTTTCAAATGATTTCGTGGATTCATTGGTACAAGCTACAAATACTTACGCCCACAAAACGGTCAGACCCCTACAAAAATATGCTCGACTTAGACAGTGGAAAGACACGAACTACCAAGAAATGAGAAGGTTTATTGGCATGTTGCTTTACATGGGATTGATAAAATTACCAACCATAAGCCACTATTGGAGGACAGATCAGCTTTACAATTTGCCACTTTTTCGATCTATCATGAGTAGAAATCGATTTCAACTGTTGCTACGCAACTTTCATTTCTCTGAAAATGACGATACAGCTACTTCACGACTGCATAAAATAAATCCCATATTAGAAAGGTTTAACACCTTGATGCCCGAACTGTATTATCCTGAAACCGATCTTAGTATTGATGAGTCAATGGTTTTATGGAGAGGAAGGTTGATTTTTCGTCAATATATAAAAAATAAAAAGCATAAATATGGTGTAAAACTATATGAACTTTGCGAGTCCTCAGGAATGGTTCTGAAAATCCGTATTTATAAAGGTAAGAGCGAGAAACCTCCACCCGGTACACTTCATAGCACTGAAGTAGTATTAGATCTCATGGAAGGTTATTTGGATAAAGGTCATGTTGTCTACACTGATAATTTTTACAATTCACCGGATTTGACAAGACGTATTGGACAAAGAAAAACATACATTTGTGGAACACTGCGCAAAAATCGCAAAAATATCCCTTATGAAGTTACTAATGCAAAGTTGAAACGAGGAGAACTTGCTTCACAAGTTTGCAGTGACATTACCGTGTGTAAGTGGAAGGATAAACGAGATGTTTTAGTCATTTCCAACAAACATCAAGTTCAAATGGTGAACGTGCTAAACAAAAATGGTAAAATTTCGTTGAAACCCAATATTGTAGCGGATTACAACTTAGGCATGTCTGGTGTGGATAGAAGTGATCAAATGGTCTCCTACTATTCGTGCCTAAGGAAGACACTGAGATGGCACAAGAAACTAGCGCTTCATATTTTTGAAGTATACTTGCAAAACGCCCACAGATTATTCCGACTGAAAAATAGAACAACGAAAACGAGACTTCTAAAGTTCCGCGAAGATTTTATCACGCATCTTTTGGGACTAAACAATAATGTGGAACTGAATACCTCGGCACCATCAGGATCGTCTAACACACCGCGCGCACAGCCATCACAAGAAAACATATTGTCACCAGAATTGCCCGGACTCTCACGACCACCTTACCATTACCATTCATCGCCAGCAACTTGTGCTAGACGCATGGAGCATCCTTTGACTACGCGTGTTCATCCTGAAACTTTCCATTACCTAGAAAAAATTCCACCTACCACTAAAAAAGCTGTTCCAGCTAAACCTTGTCGAGTATGCACCAAAAATAAGAAACGAAAGGAGACAACATTCGTGTGTGCTATGTGCCCTGAAAAGCCTGCGTTATGTGTGGTAAATTGTTTTCAAATTTTTCACACCGACCCTCGTTTTGTTTGATTTTTTTGTTTCGCTATAATACCTTCTTTTTACTTTAGACTGTTGATTGTTGTAAAAAGAAGTTGAAACTAATTAGTAGGTAAAACGCACAATGATTATTACACGATACTTGCTTATTTTATTGTTTTTTTTGTTTAGAAGTGTCTTAGATTATCGAAAAAAAATTTAATTTAGGATCAATAAAGTTACTACTTTTTTATTGGGTGTTTTATTTGAGGTGCCAAAGTATACTAAAACATTCAAGTTAGGGGGCCCAATGGTATAGATTTCTTGTAAACTGTTAGGGAAGTGCTACGTTTTATTGCGTAGTTGGCCTCTTCCATGTTCGCTAGCTACGTATATATGCGTAGTTGGCAGTCAATGGGTTAATACGCAACGTAGAAGGTTGTCCCGTAGAAGTAGACTAGATAGGAATGGAGAGGAATAGATGAATATCTATAAGAAGGTAAGACGATGCAGAAAGCAATCCAAAACAGTTTCTGTTTTAAATTTACTAAGCACTAAGTTGAAGAACACTTTAAACAAGCCGCCGGGAATCGTGTTATTTGTCACTGCTCGCTTTCTTTTGTGCCGTCGATTATTCTGCTCTAAATCGAGTTCTTAAGGCTTCATGTTCATGTCAAAAGATTAGTTACAGGTTTTCGATCACTGATTGAGTTAACACGTGACTGTGGAACATGTAACCATTCCTAATTTTCGGTAAAAGGAAAAGAAAAAAGTACAAACTAGTGAAAAAAACACTTTCATAGATTTTTCACGGCAAGCGCTACTGAAAAAGTCGTTAAATCCAAAAACGAAGATCTATTTGCAATTCTGTGAATCTGTGAAAATTTGCAAGTCTAAGGGCAATTTACAATCTGGGCCCCAGAGCATCTTTGAGAGATAAGTTTAAAGAGATTAACATTCTTGCACTGACGTCACAGTGCATTTATGAAAATGTTATTCATGTTAAGAAAAATATAAATTTTTAAATAAAAATAGTGACAGGCATAACATTGATACGGGAAATTATAATAAATTAGCTATTCTTGAAAGTCGACAGTCGTCTTCATAAAGTCTCAAATTCACTTACGCAGCAATGGTATAAGCTTCTATAACAAGGTTCCGATTGATATTCAAAATTTACCATTTACGAGGTTTAAAACTTACTCACTTTAGTGAAAGAAAAACTTTCTTACTTGGATGACAAAAATCCGTGGTAGTGACCCATTTAGCTCTTGCAGGTAATCTCGATCTAAGACGTTTAAATTAAATATTGTAAAGATAGATGTATTCAAATGTATATTTATAAGGAGCACCTTTATTTTCTTGTTCATTCTTCTCAGGGGAATCTCTACTTTACTACTGAGCAGTAGAGTTTAATCGAATGACAATTTCAAGTGTAATTTGCTTACTTATGAAATAAAGATTATTTGACTTGACTTTGTAACAAATGCAAATACTACCTTTATTAATCTAAACTACTTATATGAAATTAATTACGTATATTATGCGAAATTTTATAATTCGACCAGTATTTAAGCACAAAATAGTTAGCAACTTATCGCTCGTAATATTTTTAAGCCTCTCACCTGAAAAGTTATCAATTTGCAGATGTCGCCTTATTATATCAAGTGTGCGAGTTATTCTTCTTACTACTTCATTGAGAGAGAGTAATTTTAGTTTAAAAAGCGGAACGAACAAGTAGTGTGTCTGACGGGAAGCTACACGCCTGTCCATGACAGTTGCAGTGCCACTCAGTTCTTTAAACCGCAAAGATCTGAGGACTCTACTACGCCTGTCACTTTAAGACATAAATTGACAAGTCCTATGTGCCTGTAATTTCACCAGCACCATTACCCTTCAAAACCGGAATGCAGTAATGGACATATTACTGCTTGTTGGCAGAAATAGGTAACTAATTGACGAACTCTTTCACGAGGACCTCTATTGCTGCTACTAACTGCCTCCGTGGCCCAACGGTTATCATACAGGACTGCCACGCAGAGGTCCCCGGGTTCGATTCCCGGGCCGGGAGAAATATTTGTATGGCCTACATTTATTTCTCTCGTGAGTTTGGGTGTAATTTGTGGTTGTCTATGTGTGTGTCCATGGCACCCGCGACACAGGGTTTCCCTAGTGCGGGGCTATGTTGAGTGTGTGCGTTATTATTATTATTATTATTAAATAAATTTGGATGGCAGCGCAAAGAGCTGCAGGCCATGCATGAATCTAGGGGGAACTTTGATATTAATTTGTTCGAGGACGTGAGGACTATGTTAGAGAGCGATAGCACAGGTCTGAAAACCACTATTTTTATTACAGATTTTGTCAGACGAATTTGCGTAACACATCTCCTCTGTTTCCTCTGTTTTCGTCTGTTTGGACTCCAATAGGTATTACCTACACACATTAACAAGTAGCAGTAGAGGTCCTTGTGAAAGAGTTCGTCCAGGGAAGTACTGCCACCTTACCTGTTTCTGCCGCCAAGCAGTAATGTCAGCATAACTACGTTCCGATTTTGAAGGATAAGGGTGCAAGGGAAATCACAGGCACGTGGGAGTTGTCAACTTATGTCTCAGGGTGACGGGCGTAGTGGCAGTGCAACTGTTATGGACAGGCATGTAGCTTACTACCAGGCGCATGATTTATTGATCTCGTCTCTTCGTAACATAAAAAATCAAGGATATAAAAGGAGAAACGACCTCTTCCCTTCTAGTAGAATATTAATTAAATTTCTGTAGACTGTCTTTTCATACTTATGTAAACAATGTGTCATTATCGAATTAAACTTCTCCAAAGTTTACCTTCATGAAGCGTAATAGTAGTTTATGTGACTGTTACATAATGAAAGGCATTAAAACATCTCACGAGTGTTTTAATGCCTAGTTATGTACAGTTACTTGCACTGCTTTGTCTACACACATATTATAAGCTCACTGTGATGTGTTCAGGAACCGCATGTAACGACTGGCGAAATGGCGGAAAATAAATACTTTTCTCGCGTTGTCACACAACCGTAGTTTTATTTTTAATTTATAGACAAACTAGAATCGGCCCCAACTATCATATCGTTCGATATCAAGTAACGTGTGAAATTGTCAAAATTCTCTGCTTTTGACATTTCATTTCGAATAAAACTTCATCTCGACTGATATTAGAATTGAGGTCAAATCAAATTGTTTTGTTTTTCAGGGATGTTCGAAATTTGGATGTAATAATAACATCGAATTCGAAGTTATTATGAAGCAATAACAACATTTTCACAGATAAGAAATTTGTTCTAACAAAACAGTTTACCTTTATGCTGGTCGTAATTTGCGGTAATGCGTAATTTTGAACACATTATAGAGAGTTTATGATTTGTGTGTAGATAAACATATTTATATGAAACTACATATGGAAATGAAACAACCACCCCGAGTACACTTACATCTTATTCTCTTTATTCAGTACCCCGCGAGCCTTCATAGGGGATGGGCGTTGCTACCCCTAAGTTACGGGAATAAATCGTAGATACAAGTCTTTTGTATAAGACGATTTAGACGAACTGAACGAAATTTGTAAAAACTAAAGAAGTGAATTTCACCAAATTACGATGATAGGTAAGTTATTATTTTAATTATTTTAAGGTTGCATTTTATTTCCTATAAATTTAAATTGAATGTAAAGACGTTAGGAATAATGCTGAAATGAAAATTTACGGTATGCAATCATTAACATGTATGTATTACGTTACAGCATAATTAGGGTGCTGAGAAATCTACACATTGTAAACTGAGGTCATAGACAGCAGAAAGTCAATAAACCTAGATTCCAGAAATGTAGTGCTACGTAACGTGTGCATTTTACGTTTTGATTTTGAACTTTAAAGAACAACAGTTGATATTGTTTTTTAATCATTTATTCGTATTAAAATTGTATTCTTTTCCAACCTCGGCATTATAAAGTAAATTACAATTTGTTGCATAATTATTTGTTTTTGTTTATGCTACTAAGTAATGGGATGAACAAATCGTGCGCCTATGGTACACGCGCGTGATGGTAAACGACACGCCTGTCTATGTTGCAGCGCTACTCAGAGCTTTAAATTGCAAAGATCAGAGATGCTCTGCATCTGCGCCCGTCACAAGTCAAAAGTCCCATGCGCCTATAATTTCACCAGCACCCTTACCCAAAACCGGAACGCAATAATGCTCATGTAACTGCTTGGCGGCAGAAGTAAGTAAGGTGACAGCACTTCCCTTAAACAAATCAAAATCGTAAAGACCAGAAACTTTGTTAAAATTATTGCTCGCTATATAAACGAATTACGTTTGTAATTTTCTAAAGCGACAGGTAAATGAATTACGTAAATAAATAAACGTAAATGCTTACCTGGAACCCGTAAGTGAATCTCGGCGCGGAAAACTCGGGGCACAATAAAAAAAACAAACGTAACCAACCACTTGTCCAAATGAAGACTACATTTACTTGTTTGCACTTAAAATATTATTTATTTATTTATTAAATATGACAATTTCATATCATACACAACCATCCATGGTTATGACATACGTTTAGCTCTTTCATGTGTTTCTATCTAGCCTAACGAGACTTAAAATTGTTACATTGATTAAAAAGTACATACTACACCTTCGTAAGGCACATTACTAATATATGTAATAAGGTCACATCCGCAAAAATTACAACTTTCCAGAAGAGAGTTTATAGATTCACCTTACCTATTTGTGTCGCTAAGCAATAATGTTAGCATTACTGCATTCCGGTTTTGATGGGTGCTGGTGAATTTACAGGCACATGGGACTTGTCAACTTATGCCCCTCAGATCCTTTTCGTTTTCTGTCGAGTCTGAAAAAATACACTTTTTGAGTTAAGTAACACTCTATTAACATTGCAAAGGCATTCTCATTTACAAGTCGATAATTAAGTATTACGTATAAATAATCACATTATTTGCAATAAAAACCATTCAGCGGTCTTTTAAATTATCAAATTGTTTTCTCAATTCCGCCATTTTGAGTTACGATAAGTTTTTTTCTGAAATTACTCCAGGCAGATGTAATATAACGTTTTTAAGTCCCCATAGAAAACAGTGTAAGGCTGCGTATTATATTCTTTACTTTTATTTATTTGCATTTTTTTAATAATATCAAGTGACGGGACGAACAAGTCGTGTGCGCCTGATAGCAAGCTACACGCCTGTCCACAGCAGTTGCAGTGCCACTCAGAGCTTTAAATCGCAAAGATCTGAGGGGTGCAGTCACTGCGCCCGTTACCTTGAGATTTAGGTTGAAAAGTCCCATATGCCTGTAATTTCACCAGCACCCCTAACCCTACAAAACCGGAACACAGTAATGCTGGCATTACTGGTTGGCAGCAGAAATAGGTAAGGTGGCAGTACGAACCTTTCACAATGAGCTCTACTGCTACTAAACAATTACTTGGTCTCAAACAACGTAGCGAAGCCTGTACTATGAGTACCAGAGCAATGGAATTGATTCCGGGCACCGTCCAGAGTACCCGGAACAGGACCAATTCACAGAAGTTAATTCGCAAAAACTTTAAAAATAACTTTAGACAAATGTATTCCTAAACAAAAAATCAAAATCTGTAAAACTCGAAAACTGCCTTGGCTAACAATGGGAATAAAAAAGTCATGTTTGAATAAGTGACTGTATAGATTGTTCCTGATTCAAACGAGTAATGAAATATTAAAAAAACACTATAAATTATATGAAAAAATACTTAAAAAAACTGTCCAAAAAGCTAAAAAATTTAGAAACGTCCATAAATTTAAAAAATCTAATAATAAAATGAAAACCACATGGCAAATTATAAACAGTGAAAATAGAAACAATAACTCTAAAATCAAACAGAATATAGCCTTGGAAATAAACAATAGGTTGTGTCAGAGATCAAAAGAAGTAGCAAATGCCTTTAATCATTATTTTTCACAAATAGGTAATTCGGATCTCATTTTCAGGATCAGGATCAAATTTAATACAGCTTTATCTGCGTACTATGCATTTATCTACTCAAAGCTTTCATACGGTATATTGCTATGGGGCAATGGTGTCGAGTTAAATAACTTATTCTTACTACAAAAGAAAAGTGTAAGAATACTTGTTAATATAGATCCACAAACTTCTTGTAAGCCATTCTTTACTAAACATAAAATCTTGACATTAACCTCAATTTACATTCTAGAATGTTGTAAATTTGCAAGAAAGTACGGTCAGTTTTTTTCACCCATAAAGACAGTGAAACGTAATAATAGAGGTCTACACATGTTAAGACGTCCTTTCAGTACCCTTAGTATATACCATTCAGGCCCTCATAGTATGGTAATACAAATATATAATGCGATTCCAATCGAAATAAAAATGCGAGATACATATAAGGCGTTCGAAAAACATTTAAAATGCTATCTCCAAAGCAAGGCCTTTTATTCCATAACAGATTTTTTTGTAGAAAATAAGGCTCTTTAATTTTCTGTTTGTATTGTTCTTGCTTATGTTTATATAGTAATGTTTTTCTTTAAATGCTACTTAAATTTTATAAATTAAACCTATGTATATAATAAGATACCTGTACCCTCAAAAATTTGCGATGCCCCCCCGGGGTGTTACATGTTGTACATATAACTAGTTTAACACCACTTGTAAAAAACCATGTGACTTGCAAATAAATGAATATGAATATGAATATTCTCAAATTGGTCCTGCTGGCAATGGAACCCGGGACCTATCCATCCAGCGCTTGAATAATAAGCCCGAGGTTGCCGAATAATTGTTCTAGATTTGATACAATATCTGTCGGTCACGCTATGCTGTTTGCTCTGCTACAGAAGATGTTTTTCGCATAAAAAAATTCATTTGGCACTATTATATATTTATAGGAATCTAACAAGTAGTCTAAGAGTCGACGAATCCACAAATAAAGTGTGTTGTATACTACTGAATATATGTGAAAATATACTCCATAAGAAACATAACATCTAAGACAAGCATTTGGTACTCCACAACCCACAAAAATACTTATTTATTCACAGCACAGAGATGGGTTATAACTAACGTGGCCGTAAGTCCCGCATTGAGAGGGACATTTCCGCTTTTAAGCTTTGTATCCCGCCGTCCAAAAATACTTAAAAATATCCTGCGTTGACAAAATAGGACACATACATTTAAGAAAAATGGCGCGAAAGCGAAATATATTATAAAGCCAACCCATAACTACACAAGATTAGTTTTTTAAATTTTCGATAATTAAAAATTTTTAATTCTTTTCCTAAAATTTTTTAATCATTAAACTTAAAAAATTAAACATGTATTTTATTTGTAAAACAATAATAAATTTACAGGCGTCCCGCTCTGAAGGAAAGAAATAATGGTCACATTAGTTCCAAACAACCCATAAAAATGCTCATATTATTCAACAAAGTTTTGTTCTAGAAAAAACGTCTCCCTTAAGAAAATATTTTTCTCACATATCTTTTCACTTAAAGAAAGTACGTAGACTATAAGCAGAAATTACCAATTTATCATATCGCCTTAACCATTTTTTTCTGACACCTAGAGCTTAATCTTTCAACTGATTCTTGACGGGCGTAAGGTCTAAGAAAAATGAATGATTATTTAACGACCACTTTTATCAGACCCTCCAAGTTTTAACTTTTCTCTTATAGAGTGAAAGGGTACACGCTCACAGGAAAAATATATACATTTATCATTACGTTTCTGGCACAGCACCAAATATCACTTTGCCTATCGGTTCTACGCCATTCTTATGACGCTTTATTGTTAGGTCACAAAAGAATTGTCAATTATTTGTTTTCTTTTCATTTTGTCTGGAATTTTCATGGTTGAAGACATGGTTTATTTTATTTATCGAGGCACAATCAAAGTCATACGTAAACATTCTTTGAAAAACAATCCCGGTGCTTGCCACAACATTGTTCCGGGGACCGATTCTCGTACTCTGCGACATTTTAAAGATTTTATGATGGTGTATCTTCCATATTTACTTAATTACGTATTTAATAACAAATATACGACCTCATTGGCCCTAAGGTTTGCGCTAAGGACGCTGGGTGAAGGTTAAAGGTCCTGGTTTCAATTTCCGGTGGGACCAATTTGGGACATGTTCTTTCCTAAAATGGTTCTGGTCTAGGCGTACTAGGTAATGCTCCGAAGTGAATTCCGTTGTTCTAGTACTCGTAGTAAAGTACGTAAGTGTAGGGAATTCGCTCGTTTGATACCAGTGGCGGGGGGATTCATGTAATCAAACCGTTACGATATCGTAGCGATTTAGTAGTTGAACTGCTTTTTCGTATTCGCGTGTGACAGTGAACGTCAACGAGTCCAATTCTAAAGTCGTTCGATCCAAATGTCGTTAAAGTGTATTCTGGTCTAAGAATAGAACTTAAATCGACTCTAAACGACAAGTCATACGTATTCTCATTGACTTACAAATAAATGGACGACGGGTCTAATACAAAAAACCACGAAAAAAATGTCCCAAGTCAACCTATTCGAAATTTTAATTGTAATGTCATCGCAGTATCGCGCTGTCAGTAGAACAAATGACGACTAAAGCGGAGTGT